TTATAATTAAAAAATAGTATTGTTTGTAATCTGCATTATATACATATATTTAATTTGTGAGATATCACATAAAAAACATTTTATTTTAAGAAATTAAATATATTGTAAAGATTGTATCTAGAATCTGACGTGATCTCATAATCACATGCTATACATAGAGAGTTAGTCCGGGGCAGACTATGCATTGAAGATTGACATTAAATATTAAAGATTGAAATTTCGCCAATGTTAACAAAGAAATTTTGCCTTCTGATTGATCAAACTTCAATCTTTTAATCTTTAATCTCATTCTTCAATGCGTAGACTGATTCCAGCCTTAGTCTATACGTGTGAACTGTGAACACAATGAAAAAATGGCGTCGAGATAGCGTAATTTAGACAGCCAATCAAACCGTTAATGTTTTATTTCTGTTTCCTATAGTTACGACTAAACTTTACGTAGTTATAGAAATAAAGTAACGATAAAAGTAACTAGTGAAATCGGTACCGCTACACCAAAAATGTAATTGCGTTACCATGAACGTAACTCAAAAAAAAATGTAACGTCGTTACCCATTCCTTACCGAAAAAAGTAACTACTTTACAAATAATGCGTTACTTGTCACCCTTGTATGCCCAGTGAAAACGGCTCAGTCAAAGTGATGTCAATATGACATCAAAACCGTCGTCATGGCGTCAAAGAAATAGTTCAATATGACAAAAAATTGACAGCATGTAGAATGATATCTTAATTAAGTAAGGAAATATCATAAAAGAAGATGAAAATCATTGTTTGCAGAAGATAATTCTAGTATTAGGCGTTGTCTACAATATGCTAAGTAAGCTTGGTTTAAGAAGTAAGAGTAAGAAATTGACCAATAACAGTCGATTATTCTTTTTACAATCGACTGTGACTGGTCAATTTCTTACTCTTACTTCTTAAACCAAGCTTACTTCGCATATTGTAGACAACGCCTTATGCGACTAATTCAATCAATATCATCTTAACGGCATTTTCATGTTCAGGACGTCATTTGGACGTCACTATAATAATAAATAACGGCTTCATTTTTTGCTGGATAACTGTTATTATAATATTAAACACATATCAAAATGGCAGTCAAGATCACCATCATGATATGAGACGTTTTGCAGTCTTATTGTCGTCATTTTGCTATCATTTTAATTTTTTGTAACGTCATATTCCTAATCAATTTGACGTCACATTGACATCATTGTTTGATTACTTGACTAATTGTAAGTAGTTTTCACTGGGTATATGTATATACATATATGTATATATACATATACGTATATATGTGTGTATATACACAACTATATAAATACACACACATACACAATATTTTTATTTGTAATTACATGTAAATTTGTAAACATTAATAAAAATCGATAAAAAATTAAAATATTCAGAGAGAAATATGATATTTTTAATATACACTACTCTATCATTTCTCAATAAAGTTCAGTAATCGAGAAATGAATACTATTATATAGAAAATAATTAACAAGATTAATAAAATAAATAATTCTTAAAACTAATTAAAAAGCAAATGTTTCTTAACATTAATCGAAATACTTAATGTTTCTTAAAGTGAAATGTTGACAAATATCGTATTTGCATGTATATGTACAAAGGTAAACATTAATTTTCTCAGGAATTATTCATTAATTTACTCGGAGTATGTTGGATGCCAATTTAAATATTATTTTAGTTATTATAGTCATTCCTGGGTAAATTGAGCTACACAATTATGATTTTCAATGTACCGAAGATTAAAACGGACTAATAATTTAATTGAATAATACCCCGTCAAACATTGAGAATCACAAATATGTAAAACATTTTAAAATAAATTAAAATAAAATTTTATTTAAATATATAAAATATTTTAACTTACCTCGTGAACCAATGAATACGTACACACTTCCAACAATTGGATAACATAATGGTCCTGGTATTAGGTTAATGAGTCGTCCGATTTTTCCATAATGCACATAATAGTTACACACCAATAATATAAAGACAAATGATAGCAATACAATAACAAACATTATTGGTCAAATAATCAAATTGGTTATTATCAGATACTTGTTATAACCAAAATAAGAAAATAAAATATATATAGATGGATATAATTAAACTTAATTGAATAAATCTATGGATATGAAGATGCCTTTCCGAGTCAAGCACTGGTAGTTCGTGTGTAAATGAATTTATTCGTCAAATTTCGTTACCATACGTTTCGATCTTTGCTTCGGATCCTTATCAATGAATAAAATTTAACAACATATCATTGTTCTTCCCGTAACACTAATTAGAAACATAAATACTTGAATTATTACACGTTAAAAAAGATATTTACTATAATGAAATTCAGTAATCCAACAATCTCATATATTTGACCAGGGAATGGAAAGTTACTTTTTAAGAGTAACAAGTTACAGTTAGTCGTTATCGAATAGGAAAAGTAACAAGTTGCCGTTACTAGTTACTAATTTTTAAAATTAACTCGTTGCAGTTACCGTTACTTAATAAAGTAACTTTTCGTTACTTTTCCATTACTTTTTTTAAAATCGACGACCGCCAAACACAGCGGACGGGCCTAGGATCTTCTCTAGTCTCAGCGTTATGTACTGTAAAAAATTGTTGTGTAGAATTACAACTATTATAGTGGATAATTTTGAGACCCACTATAATAGTTGTAAACGTCCACACGTATGTAAATTTACAGTATGTAAATAAAAATAATTTCTTGGTTTGTAATTCATTAGATTGTGGAAGTACAATTACATTGTGTAGTTACAGTAACGATAATATGATAATATATTTCGCACTATATATTAATATACATTTAACAACAATACACGATAAATTTCTGTTATATTTCATAATATCACTAAAATTTGGATAATTGCAGAAAATATTCGAAATATATCCTGCTATTTACATAATTTTTAATATAAAATATGATACATTTACACAGTAAAAGCAAATTTACATAATTTTTGTGGAATTACATAATTTCTGTAATATTGCATGATTTTTTATATTTACAGGACCAATCATGTAATTTGTTTTACATCTATATTATATGTGTAAATTTACGAAATTTTTTTACAGTGTAAGTGGCTTGTGTCGTATCGTGTCCAATCATATGAAAAGTAACGATAAAAGTATCTGTAAAATTCGTTACCGTTACCAAAAAAATGTAACTTTGTTATCGTTACAGTTACCAAAGAAAAAAAGTAACGCAGTTACTAGTAAAGTTACAAAAATGTAACTTGTCATTTCGTTGCAAGTAACGAGTGACTTCCATTCTCTGCATATTAGAAGTAATTATAATTTAATAACTTACATGATAATGTTGAAGTTGGATACGAAGTTATCATGTGAAATGACAGAATACATCTAAACACAAATGATGTTTCTGGCCGTTCTCTACTAAAACAAAGTAAAGAAAAATTTAAGAGAAGGAAACTCATTGGTCGATAAATAAACATTCATAGATCTTATGAAACAAATCTGTGACCGTTTGCATATTCAAACTATTTTTCTGTTTATGTATATGAATAATTTCCGAGATAAGCCTTTTATCTAGCATATTTTCTTCATCAAGTATTTTAATATTAATCCAATCAAACTCATGAGAGTATTCTAATCGGTGTTCAGTAATTACGGGTACTATCCTGTCGCGCGCTTGCATTTGGCAGTAGGCTGGTCGAATTTGGCTATTTTCTTAAGTTAATAATTCGTTAATCATTGCGACAATTGTAAAATGGTAGAGGACTTTTCTTCTCAGTTATTTTAGTTCATTCTACCACTGTGCAAAACACTTATCATTATTTTCCAGACACCCTGTATACATCAATCGATCTGGCGGCTGCATTGTCTCGCGGTCTATTACCCAAGTAGAACACAGAAATAATGAGGACATCATCATGACCTCATTCTTCACTAATAAGTCAATTTTCAAGTATCAAACGACGTCATTATGATGTTCTATCATATTATCATGACTCAATTTTGACTCCGTGTTCTACCTGGGTAGTATCTACCGGAAAAGGTATTTAAAATGTAAAAAAAGAACGTCAAGTATATTTTAAAGAAAAAGATACCAAAAATAATGCCATAAAAAAGAAATGAAATCAAAATAATATTTCAAGTATGTATATTTAAAAAGTTCTATGGAATACAGTTCTCCGAGCGGCATCTTGAAGGCATCCTTGTAATGTAGATGTTCTTTGGACATCCTCGAAGACACTGTTGTATAAAATAATTTCTCACAATTACAATATATTACACAAAACAAGAATAACATTTGAATTGTATTAAGTATAACATATTAAAATGAGAGAACGAAACGCAATAGATAGCATAATGAGAGGCGCGGAAACTGAAAAGAATTTTTACATCGATAATAACTATAGAAAATTGTAGAAATAAAAAATTGAAAATGAGCAAGATCTCCAGCAGCAGTCTACTTGACGCGCCCGTATTGTTTATAATCGTAATTTAAAATAAAAATTGCTAAGATAGCCGTTCGCGCCCTGACTTGCCAATTGTATGTAGATATCAACATATTAAAATTAATTACGATTTATTAAAATTTTAAACATTTTAATAAAATTAATGTTATAGTATAATTTAATCTAATTCATTCTACTTATGAAACGATATTAGCACATAGACAATGTAATTTCGAAATATGTTATAAGGATTTTATATAAGTCCCATTTCACGTATAACTAGCTTTTAAATATGTTTGGTAATAAAGTCCCTAATCAAATAAGTTGTGCATTATTTCTAAAAAATATTATTAAATAAAAAATATTTGCGAAAATATACAGTTGAGAAATTAAACGCCGTTTATGTCGCTTGCGCTTGCCACGACAATGACAGTTTACACAGGGGATGTTTACTGAGATGATGTTTCTTCAAGAATAATAATACATTTGTAGAATGAATTACACACATCTTTGTTTAGTATTTATATCCAGTAGTTAGTATTTATATTCAGGATTATTTATCCAGGTATAATAGTATTTATATCCATTGATTATATCCTGTTCATGTTTGTATTATTTTTGCAAAACAGGAACAAATCGTACACGAAGTGGATGAGGATGAACTACGAGATCAACTTGCAGTCGAACATCCTTTATATAATCAACGGGTTCCAAATAGAAATGATGTATCAAAGAAGCTACCATCATCTTCATTTGCAGCATAGCATATCGTTGACCTATAATTTAATATTTGTTGTAATTTGTTTATATAAAAGGATATAAGTGATTATAGATTACCGATACAATTACGTGGTCCAGCACTGAATGGCACATATGAGTAAGGGTGACGATTTCTTATCCTATCGGGCAAAAATCTATCAGGATCAAATATTTCTGGATTTGGCCAAAAATTGGGATCTTTGTGGACGTTGTTAATATCGATAAACAGGATGGTGCCAGCAGGTACTAAATATGACTCTATAAAAAGTATAAAATTTATAAAATAAAATTTATAAATAATAATAAAAAACATTATAAGAAAATTTAAATTTAGTATATATTTAATACAATGCGGAAATAAGTGTCTACAAATATGTTTAAGGAAAAACGTAATAATTATTTTAATTTCCTGAATAATATTGTTTATTTTAATATTCTATGGTGTTATATATTGTAGCAGTTTTATATCTGGAATGTTTGAAATATTTTATTTTAGATATACATATAAGCATTATTAATAAAAACAGAAATTTTTGAATTTTTGTAATAGGAATTTTACATTATTTAGTTTTTATATATCTACAAAACTACATCTAATAGCAATATTTTCAAAGCATTATTTTGCCATCTAAGATATATTGAATAATACATTTAAAAATAAAATAAATTGAAAAATACAGTAATAGTTTTGTTTAATACGTACGTAATTTTACATCTTCTCCACATATGCGAGATATAAGAAATAAGGCATTATGCAAGCGCAACGCTTCTTTTATGCATCTTTCTAAATATGATAGTTGATGCAAAAACTTCATAGTTAATTTATCTTCATTCTCTTGCATAGCAATATTGACTTCATTTCTGACACGATCCTGTATCATTAATAATTAAAAATACGTTTCTTATTTTTAAATGAGTTTGTATATGTACACACACAAATCAACTGCATACATGTGGGAGCGTGTGTGGGTGTGTGCGCGCGCGCGTCGTACACGTCCGTCCGTAGGTACGTGCATGCGTGGATGGGTACGTGTGTGTGTACATGTTTTTTCTATCTGTCGATACATAGGAAAGCGAATTGTGAGCCTACGCGCTTAAAAAAACAATTAAAATGTTTAATATTGATACAGTTTTAAGACATAATTCCTCGTGTTAGTGAATTAATTAATTTCATTACCTAAGAAAGGCAGCTTACATTTGATAATAAATACCTGAATGGCCTTGTGTTCAGCTAATAATGCCAAAATGAAGCATAAACTTGATGCTGTAGTATCATGGCCCTATAACCATATTGTAAACATTGATATATATATGTATCACAGATTGTATTTAAAAAATTTACAAAAAATTACAAATGTATACCTCGAACATAATGGTGTCAACTTCCTGCCTAATCTCTAAATCAGTCATGAGACCCTCACGAGATGCCGCTATGAGAAGATCCAACATTGCAAGCCCCTTCCTTCGCGCTAAATCGAAGTATATAAACATGATATTTTTAGAGCATCATTTCAATAGTAAAATATAATTTATAATATTATATCGAATTTAAAGGATATCTTCTGATTATATTACGTACTTCCAATCATTTTTGCACCATCTTCTTCTGCTGATGTATCATTGTCCAAGCTTTTCAAATATTGACCATTAGTTTGTTCATGATAAAGTTTTCTTTCGGCAATAATCTATATGTAAATACAACATTAATGTTTTTTCTACGATTTACATAAATGAGGTATCAACATTTATGATTTAAGGCTCTCACATATGAAATGCATAACAGAGCATAAGCATAAAGGTCGCTAAACCAATGAGCATCTTATCTAAATCAATATGGCGACATTATGCTAGATGCTCATTGGTCCAGCAGTCTTATGTTATGCTTATGCTCTGTTATGCATTTCATGTGCCCTTATCTTGCCCTTATCTTGTAATACTTTTTTATATAAAGTCATTATCACAACTTTTTAAAATAGATAATGTTTAAACGTTATATCGTTAACTTCCTAAAATAGATCATATTTAAATAATATATTAAGTAGTATTTTAACGTACTCGTTCAGTAAATCCATGTAATATTTTTAGAATCTTCGCTTGCTCTCTGCCTTTTGGTGTCAATGAGAATATCCAGTTAGAATGCAGCCATTGTCTTTTTGTTCTAAACGTTACAATAACAGTTACTAAATAATAGGCATGCTGTTTTAAAAAGATGATAGTATCGTTTTTGTAAAAGCTTCCTTTAATTACTCTACATACACATAGAATTAGAAATATTTTAATAACTATATAAAAATAAATTTAGAACAATAAAAAATTATACCAAAGACATATGTAAAATCGTATATTCACAACAACTTTTTAAATTGAACTATTCAATCTTACATAAAAATATATTTGTCTTTACATTGAATTATTTTTTTTCGCGATACTTTGGCATTTAAAATTTTAAAAGCTTTAACCAGTATTTATATTTAAATAAACAATTGAACTGATTATAATTTATTATGCATAAATTTCTAATTATATACTAACGACGTTTTACATTAAACATTATTTGTCAGGATATGATAAAATATTAAGGTATACGTATAAATATTAAGATCAAATGAGGAATATATTATTTATTATGCCCATAAATTACCTATAAACAAAAAGCTCGCCCATTCGACGAACTGCTTTTAGATACTGTTGCTGGAACTCACCGAGATCTTTTAGAGAAATTCCCATAGCAGTTTCTGCAAACATGTTTGTGAAAATATTACGATAACATTATCGTATACATATATATATACATATAAATGTATATGTATACATATATGTATATGTATAATTAATTTCTCGCCGGCGGACGCAGGTTGTCGCGAGACCCTCGAATTAGAGTTTACTTTTTTCAACTGTGAAGAAAATGAAAAATGGATATTTGTTTCTATAATAAATGTGTGTTTTTATTTCATCTTCTACATATTTGAAATAATTTACTACATATTATAATATAATAAAAAACCCGCTTTTCAAACGTTTTGAAACACTAACATTCTTTGGTCACATTTAACCCTGCATCTGCCGTGCATGCGAGTTGATACTGTCCGACGTTCGTCGCGTCCGAGGATTAATTCACAATATCTATACACAAATACACAACACTGTATCGATCAATACGTAATTTTTGCTGCCGTAGATATTTTCGAAGTCATGCACCCTCACATATCTATATATTATGTATGTATGCATATTTCAAGAAAATATGTATGTACGTATATTTCAAGAAAACCTACGGTTGGAAAAATTACATATTGATCGATACAATGTTGTATATCGATATTTTGAATTAAAGAAAGTTGTATTTTGTTTTATATTATTCGTTAATGGACATTAAATTCAATGGCTGTGTTCAGCAGAGAAAGCAGCTTTGCAAGTGTTGCAAAATTCTTAAATATGATTAGTTTATACATTTAGATTCAGTGAGGAACTAAGGGCAAGAACAATCATATTAAAGAATTTTAATTATATTTACATGTATATATACATTTATATGTATATATATGTGTATACGGTAATGTTATCGTAATATTTTAACACCAGTTGCAAAGCTTCTTTTTCTGCTGAACGCAGCCAATATAGTTGTGAATTCATATTCATTTATTATTAAAAAAATTTAGTATAATTTTGTAATACCACATAATGCATTCAGCGTGTGTTCACTCATAAAAGGTGATAAATTTTTTACAACTGTGCCTTCCGCATTTTCCAAGGACTTTATCATGTTTTTGCTTTCTTTGTCGAAAATCTCGACAAATCGTTGCAGTATATTAAAATTAAATGTAGGAGTTAATATCTTTCGTTGTGAATGCCACTTCGCGCCTAAAACATGAACAACACAATGTACAATTATGAAATGACGATTCGAAATAAGCATTGGAATATACGATGAGGAACAATCTTTTAATTTAAATTGAAAAAAATCTATTTATATTACAAATTTATTTTATTATCAATATAATGAAAACTTGATAACCAAAATGAAACTTGATAGTAAAACATGCATTCTTATTTGTATTAATAGCATTACCTTCACTAATCAAAATACTAGTTCCGATCCAAGGTTTGAAACCATCATAAAGAATACTCTTTTTTATATGTTTCGAGTTGCTTAGTATTGTCTAAAATTGCAATGAATTTATTTCGAAAGTATTTTAAATCGTACCTAACAAATATTTTACGAGTAAATAATAATGTAAGTAAGGCCCTGAGAATAAATTAAACGAAATAAGTGGCTTAAGTTCCAACTAGACCGTTTAAGGCATTTATTTCCCATAGGTTGTATTTTTCACATAGCCGGTTCTATGAAAGATTAAACATTTAAATATTGCCTAATAAATACTTAGATGTTACAAAACAATGTTTCAATCAGTTTGGGTCCTTGTTGGTGTAATTAGAATAAGAAAAAAATATTAGTATAATTAGAAAGGAAAAAAATAGACATAAAATATGGGTTATTATCACTATAAGGTCTATTAAAATGTGTACTTAAAAAAATAGAAAGTATAGATAGATAATTTAAAGATTTAAGAGAATAATGATCGCGCGGCCAAGGGTACAAAATATTCAGTTAAAAATAAAATTGAAGTCATGAATGAGGCTATTATATGCCAGTTTAGTCGTTTTTGTTACCGTAGTCTACATTTCTTATTCCGTCTGATTTTGACGAGTAAATATATCTTTGCAACATAAAAGAAAAAAAGTTATCTTATTCGCTAATACATATAGTAAGAATAATAAGAAGACAATAAAATTTTCTTCATATTTCATTACCTCTAGATCATCCGGATAACGAATGCATATTGTGGGTACAAAGAATGCCCAAATTTTGAAAATGGGATAGTATTTATCACTAACAGTAATTATACGCTTCCATAGTGTTTCTAAAAAAATGCAAATGCATGTATGTATGTATATATACAAGGTTGGTAACGTTAAGTTGTATATTTAAAAGAAGAAAAGGACAAAAATAATTATTTAGCCAGATGCAGAATTTCGAAAAAAAGAAATAATGATACGAATCGCTAATCGTGAGTTCCCTAAGGGTAAAATTATATTATAATAAAAAAATAGTATTGTTTTTAATCTGCATTATATATATATATTTAATTTGTGAGATATGACATAGAAAACATTTTTTATTTTAAGAAATCAAATACTATATTGTAAAGATTGTATCTAGAATCTGACGTGATCTCGTAATCACATGCTATACATAGTGAGTTAGACCGGAGCAGACTATGCATTGAAGATTGAGATTAAAGATTAAAGATTGAAATTTCACCAATGAGGATAAAGAAATTTTACCTTCTTTTGTTCTGATTGGTCAAACTTCAATCTTTTAATCTTTAATCTCATTCTTCAATGCGTAGACTGATTCCGGCCTTAGTCTATACGTGTGAGCTGTGAACACAATGAAAAAATGGCGTCGTGATAGCGTTATTTAAACAGCCAATCAAACCGTTAATGTTTTATCTCTGTTTTCTAGAACTATATTTACGACTAAACTTTACGTAGTTATAGAAATAAAGTAACGATAAAAGTAACTAGTGAAATCGTTACCGTTACACCAAAAATGTAATTGCGTTACCATGAACGTTACTCAAAAGAAAATTTAACGTCGTTTCCCATTCCTTACCGAAAAAAGTACCGACATTACAAATAACGCGTTACTTGTCAACCTTGTATGCCCAGTGAAAACGGCTCAGTCAAAGTGATGTCACTATGACATCAAAACCGTCGTTTGTCGTCATGGCGTCAAAGAAATAGTTTAATATAACGAAAAATTGACACCATGTAGAATGATGTCTTAATTAAGTAAGGAAATATCATAGAAGAAGGTGAAAATCATTGTTCACAGATGATAATTCTAGTATTATGCGAGAAAATCAATATTATTTTAACTGCATTTTCATGTTCAGTACGTCATTTGGACGTCACTATAATAATAAATAACGGCTTAATTTTTTGCTGGATAATTGTTAATATAATATCAAACAAATATCAAAATGGCAGTCAAAATCACCATCATGGTATGAGACGTTTTGCAGTCGTCATTTTGCTATCATTTTAATTCTTTTTGACGTCATATTCCTAATCAATTCGACGTCACATCGACATCATTGTTTGATTGCTTGACTAATTGTAAGTAGTTTTTACTGGGTATATGTATATACATAGATGTATATATACATATACGTATATATATGTGTATATACACACCTATATAAATACACATACAGACACAACATTTTTATTTATAATATTATGTAAATTTACAAACTTTATAAAAATCGATAAAAAAATTTAAATATACAGAAATATGATATTTTTAATATACTACTCTATCATTTCTCAATAAAGTTCAGTAATCGAGAAATGAATACTATTATGTAGAAAATAATTAACAAGATTAATAAAATAAATAATTCTTAAAACTAATTAAAAAGCAAATGTTTCTTAACATTAATCGAAATACTTAATGTTTCTTAAAGTTAAATGTTGACAAATATCGTATTTGCATGTATATGTACAAAGGTAAACATTAATTTTCTCAGGAATTATTCATTAATTTACTCGGAGTATGTTGGATGCCACAATTTAAATATTATTTTAGTTATTATAGTCATTCCTGGATAAATTGAGTTACACAATTATGATTTTCAATGTACCGATGGTTAAAACGGACTAATAATTTAATTGAATAATACGCCGTCAAACATTGAATCACAAATATGTAAAACATTTAAAAAAAATTAAAATAAAATTTTATTTAAATATGTAAAATATTTTAACTTACCTCGTGAACCAATTGCTACGTACACACTTCCAATAATTGGATAACATAATGGTCCTGGTATTAGGTTAATAAGTCGTCCGATTTTTCCATAATGCACATAATAGTTACACACCAATAATATAAAAACAAATGATAGCAATACAATAACAAACATTATTGGCCAAATAATCAAATTGGTTAATATCAGACACCTGTTATAACCAAAATAGAAAAAAGTTATAGCATAATAAATATATTTTTCTTAAAACGATTTAGGCTACAAATAAACATTATAAATAATTAAAATTATTTTTGGTTGCGAATAATTATTATTGATGTCAAAAAATGTTTTGATTATGAATAACCATTACTGATGACGGAAATTGTTTTTGTGATTTCGAATAACCATTATAAATAATTAAAACTATTTTTGGTTGCGAATTACCATTACTGATCTTCGAAATTGTTTGGGTTATGAATAACCATTATCGATGACCGGAATTTTATTTTGGTTACCTAAGATCTCTAAACTATATACAGACTTTGTTGGTTATCAGCAAGCAATTATCGAAGACAAACATATTTTTTGATTACTATTCGCCGTTGTCAGTTTTATTATAAATTTTATTAAAACAAATTAATAATTAAAGGATAAAAGATATAATTATTTAAGAAAAAAAATATAATGAAAGGTACTATATTTTAATAAGGTATTATAAAATATTGGACAAATATATGGGGATGTAGGAGTCAGCGCGGTACTACAAATGTAATGCACAAATGTAATGATAAAATAATCTTCGTTAGTTCATTACATTTAGTAATAATCTTTTGATTCGTGACAATGTGTCCGAACGCATTTTAACTTACTTCTAGTCAATTATCAACGATGATGTATTTGATTATACGTGGTACTCTGAGGATGCAATAGTCACGGTGCCAATCATTCAACTTATCAAAATGATTCCAGCGTTCCTAGTAGTTTACTATCCAGAGCAATCAAATTAATAATCCTTATGTAATTATACTCCAAAGACTGTCTTTTCGTTAAATAATGTAACGCAATGTGATATTCACTCTACGATCGCGCTGATGCAAATGGCTTGCGTCATATATGATTATATAAATTTCTTATATAATTATATAAACAGGATTTACGGATCAAGCGTGTAATCATAAATAGTTTTCTTAAAAGTTATTGAGAACTGACACATAGAAATGATCTAAAAATTCAGTGTCCATTTAGAGATTTAAACTCTTTTTTTGCCTTTTTGATATGTAGCATCTGTGATGTTAATATTTTGTAGTAATTAATTTCTTTATCCACAATATCTGTACACCTTCCCAATAAAATTCAAAATGCAGTCTGTGGTCTGTGATAACTGAATAGATGTTTTCTTATAATATGATTCCGGTATTCGAGAATGCGAGTTTTTAATTATCGATTGGTTTGCCCCACATAAGTGGTATCACAATCTTTACAAGAAATTTTATAGACTACATTTTTTTGTGAATTGACCGGTAGTGGGTCCTTCGAAACCTTAATCAAGCTACAAAATTTATTGACGCTATAAAAATTTTAGATATGTCGTTATTCTCCTGAATTTGTTAGAATTAGTAACAGTATATGTTAGAGTTAGTAACAGTATATGTTACGTATACTATAGTATTTCCCTAGACTTTTGTATACGTTTCTTTTCATAAATAGAGCCTCTGATGTTAATGTCTATTGATTTTATTTTTCAGGATATGCTGTGATCGTATCTTAGTGAACTATCAGCACAAATAAGTATTATTTTAAAAAATGAAATATGTTCTAATAACTTTATGTATTTTTGAATTATTTCCATTCCAAAAAGAAAAGTTTGAACTACGTTAAAACAACTGTTAATACAACTTTTTGTTTGTTTGTTGATTTACTTTGTAAAATAATGTCTATTATATGTGTATATATATATGTATATATACATTTATATACACATATAAATATAATATATAATGTATTTATGAAAATGGAATTTTTCTTATTGCTAGAATTAGTAGAGA